AAATATGAATTATTTCCCACTATTATCAAAACATCATAGGACCAGTGAAATGACTCAACAGGCACGTTAAAGGTCCCTGCCACCAAGCAGGGTTTGAGATCCGGGTTTGGTGGAACGACAGGGCCAGTTCCCACAACTGTCTCCACTCTCCACACACATGCCATGGTACACATGCACCCACCGCACCCCCCATCATCACACACCCTAAAATACATAAACGTAATACAAATTTTGAAAATCATAGTAATTTTATTCTCTATTATGTCCTATAGTTGGTATTTTTAAATTCTTTTATATTTTAAGTGAGGAATGATATTTCCTTACTCTTTTAATTTCTAGAAGCTGACGACTAATACAGTTTACCAGGTGTGCATCTCAAGACCCCTGGCTTTCCACACTTGGGAAGCAGTTCTTTCATCTCACTACTGACTCCTTTGGCGTATACATTTTGTCATTAGCCTATAATTATGTTCTCTTTAAAAGGAAAAAAAAAAGGTCAGTTTTGCTTGTGACGTGTACCTTTCAGCATGTCTTTAGCCTTTATGCCTTGCTATACCTGTTTTATTATACAAAGTTGTTATGTAAATCAAGTTTATAAGCCATATCTATGTTTAACGCCCTTTATACCATCTTCAGAAAGGCATTTCTAAAGGGAGATTACTTGGAAAATTTCCTTTATTTTATTCTAAGTATATTTATGCTGTTCCATTTTTCATCATGCCTTTAATCTATTTAGATTTCTCTTCTGAAGTCTAAGTTAGAGATTCAACCACATTCCCACCTCCCTCGGTTTGCTGGCTAAAATTCCCGCAGCATTTCTGAACACTCCCCATTTTCCCTGCTAAGCTTTTGGCTGTGCTATCCTCGGCTCCCTGGTTTTCATCCCCTGTCTCGTATCTGTTCCAGTCACATGACTCTGCTGCTTTGTTAAAGTCTCACGGCAACGAAACTGCGAAACAAAAACTCCCGAGATTGCATCAGCTAGCAGCAGCAAACACTTATTGCCGTGGTATGTATTTCTGGGTCAGCTGAGAGACTTCAGGGTTCTGGTAGAAAAACAGAACTTCTCTGTCAGCTCCTGGTCAGTCTTAGACTCCTGTGCCTCTTTTCTCAGGCTGATGGCCACCTCCCCCCCCCCCCAGTATCTTCTGCCAGATACCAGGATGGGAGAGACTTGATGAATCTCCCTAAATCCTTCCTCTCCCATGCTCGCTTCCTCCTTTCCCTCCTCCTTCTCTTTCCCTTGCTCTTTCTCTTCTTTTAGGTTTATATATGTTTATGTGTGTATATATACATATATATATGATCTTACACTGTAGCCCAGGCTAGTCAGGAACTCACGGAAACCTTCCCACTGCCCCAAAGTATTTTCATCGAAGTTTCCATCACCGTCCCTCCCTTCCTTGAGAAGAAAGACACTTCTTAAGCTCAACTGAAAACATACTCCTTGCCTCCACATTATGTTGGTCTGAGAAGCTCAAGTGACCAACCCTAAATGAATGAGAATGGGAAATATCGTCCTGTGCTCTCTGGCCCTGTGTCAACGTGACACAAGGCTAGAGTTATCTGAAAGGAAGGAACCTTAACTGAGAAAATGCCTCCATTAATGCATTTTCTTAATTATTGGTAGCGCGAGGGTGGGAGGGAGGTCAGCCTGTTGTGGATGGGGCCACCCCTGGGCTGGTGGTCCTGGGTTCTATAAGAAAACAGGCTGAGCAGGTCATGGGGACCAAGCTAGTAAGCAGCACTCCGCCATGCCCTCTGCACTCAGCCACGGCCTCTGCATCAGCTCCTACTTCCCGGTTCCAGCCCTGCTTGAGCTCCTTGTCTGACTTCTCCAAAGATGGACTAATCTGAAAGTTTAAACCAAAGAAACCCTTTCCTCCCCAACTTCATTTTTGGTCATGGTATTTCATCGCCGCAATCAAAACCCTAACTAAGACACACACACACACACACACACACACACACACACACACCACAGAAGACATATCAAGGACTTAGAACAGAGAACTAAACAGAGAACCCTGTCTACCACACTGAGCTAGTTATGTTTTCCAAACCTCAGCATCCTCTGTGTCAAAATGAGATGACAGCGGAATTTCAGCATCATAGATAACAAATGTCAAGCGCATTGCACTTGGCCTTTAGTAATTTAAAAATATATTTCTGCTTCCTAACAAAGCCACATTCCTATGAGAAAAAGCAGATTCACTCCCACCCCATCCCTGTATAGACAACTCTCCTAACTATTCACTGCCATTTCCCTCCAGATGACTTTTGAGTACGTAATAAACCCGGCTTTATTATATAACACGTATGCATCTCTGTATTAACTGAGGAAAACGCCATCTAGTCATTCTCTCAGACTGCTGAGTAACTTGGTCCACAGCCTTCTGTGAGTAGGCTGAAGAGGGACTCTTAGAAACCATAATAAATAATCAAGTGCATTCTGCGAATTCACCATGGTGAAAGCTTTGCTATATTAATTTTCAAACTGTACAAACTTAGTCAGAGAGGTCAAGGTCCTAGACATAGACTAGTATAATAACATAAAAGCGGGGCTTGCCAGAGTGGCAGCTCCAGATGAAGTTACCCAATGGCATACAGATGGTCTCCAGTTCATAGTGGCTTCACCTGCAGTTTTTATTTACACGTTCGCTAGAAACTCTTTTGAATGTTGAATTTTAATGCTTTTTTTTTCCTGGATGGCTATATGTAGCATAATTGCTGCTTACAGTGTTGGGCAGCAGCTGCAAGCTGAGGCTCCTGTTAGCCACATGATCATGAAGCAAGCGAACTGAAATTCTAGTGTGCCGGGTTGGTAAGCTGTGTCTGGTGGCAAGCTGGACTGACGTACTTTCCTCTTGCTCTCTCATCATCTCACAGAGGGAACGCCGAGACGGAACCCTATTATATGCTGAGGAACATCTGTGTGGGATGCACAAGAATGTGGAAGCGAAAGGAACAGAAGAAAATGATCTCAGGGATCATCAAAAAAAAAAAAAATGGCTTAGGCCAGGCAAGTGACTGTGTCTTTAATCCTAAGGCTCTGGAGGCAGATGCACGGGGATCTCTGTGAGTTCGAGGCAGGACACACAGGGCTGCACAGGAAAGCACTGTCTTGCAAAACAAAAACAAATAAAACAACAACAACAATAACAAAAATGGCTTGAGGAAGAGATGCAGGGGTCGTCATGTGCCTGTAATCTCAGTGCTGGAGGCGATGAAACAGGGTTGTGATTTCAACTCCAAAGACCTAGAAGAAGGAGGAGAGGAGCTGGGGCCAGGAGTACCAGGGGGTCTATCAAGCAGCCAATGTATTCTTAAAACAAAGCGTTTTTATTGTGACTAACCTTAAATAGACAAGGAGTGGTTTCTTCTTTTTACACGTATTATTTACATATTCATTTGAAACTTATTTCTTGTTTACATCATTAAAGGATGAGAAAAGTTGGTGATAGTTCAAAGAATAAGTAACTAAAAATATCTAATTTAGAGCCCTGAAACAAGTTAATCAGATTTGCATTATTCAATTTTAAAAGCTAAGGTGTGTGGGAAGGGCAGGGGTTTAAGAACTGATATCTATTTTTCTAAGATATAACATACTGTGTCAATAAATTGATGGGTTTGTACTGTTTTGGTAGAAACGAAGAATAAAGCAATGTGGCTTTGTTCTTATTTAATGACCTGCCTCCGGTCCAGTAAAATGTATGTATACATGTGGCAAGCTCACCAAAATTAGACTTTTCCCAACTCCTAGTCTACCAGGTAACTTATGTTTAAGGAAGCAATGTACTTGTAGACAGTAACAGATCGATTAATCAATCCTGTCAGGATTTTTTTAAAAGTAACTTTCCTAAGCCACGCGTGCTCTTTGCTCAGGTTCCACATCCGCTGAGGAAAGGTAGCTGTAGCTCCCCCCCCCATCTCCCGTCCCCCCCCCCCCCCCCCCCCAACTCCCGACCCCCACTCCCCACCCCCGCTTTACTCGTCTCTGCCTGAGAAAGTGGCCTTCGCGGCTTTAAAGACTTCCGATAGATTCCACAGTTGTCAGCATTTTGTCCAATTGTTCTATGTTGAAAAATATATAACTGAGTCAATATGTGCATACAAATCTCAGGAGATTTTAATAAATGTAAGTTCAGGCTCCTCCTATTCTCCTTTTCCTCCTGCCTCCTCCTTCTCTTCCTCCTCCATGTTGGGGATCATACCCAGAACCTCATGCACGCTGGGTGAGACTCTATCACTAAGACTGCAAACCAGACTGGCATTGAACTCACAAGAGATCCACCTACTTCTTGCCTCCTGGTTGCTGGGATCAAAGAGCGCACCACCAAACCCGGCCCAATTTCTCCTTCGGTATCTGCTTACTTCACAGAAGATGTTTATCACCGAGACTAAGTCTCGATCGTATTCTGAATTCTGGTATGAGAACCGCAAGCGGCTCCGCTCGCCTCTTCCCACGCTCTGCGCTCACGTATACTTGTCTACAAAATACAACTTAGCTATATTATTTCCCACCTGTATTTTGTCATGAGAAACTCTTTAAATTACGAAGAGGAAATAACAGCATGTCAAGAGAAATTGCCTTCCAAACAAAGAAAACCGTTACAGTGCTACACAGGCTTAAACCTGCTTGTTCCTTGTAAATCCTCGTTGTAAGTCAGGCGCGGCTTTGGTCTCCACTGCATACATTCTAAGACCTTTATCTTAAATCCACCAGAGTTTGCTCTGAAGCGCTTACTCTTAACATCTTAACAACTTACTCTTAATATCTTCCTCGAAGAGAGGGCTATTCTGTTCAAGTTGTTGAGTATTTAATATGACTGAGTGAGGGGCTTTACTTAAGGCTGTTTCAAAAGATTTGAAAAGGGGGGGCGGGAAACTTGGCAGTTGGAGATGGCCAGTTGGGAACTAGAGTGAGCCATGGTGGTTGAATGTGATTGGAGTGTGCTGCGTACATGTATAAAGTAATGTATCTTCTCTATAGCTAATGTATACTTTTTGAGGCCAGCAAAATGGCTGAGAGGAAGACTGCTTACTGCCGAACATGAAGACTTGCAGAAGCCACATCACAAAAGGAGGGAACTGGGTTCCACAAGTCATTCTCAGGTAACCATACTTGTGCCCTGACTCTTGCATGCATGGGCATGTGCATGTGGCGCACCCCCCTCAACACACACACACATATGTGTGTATACATATATATGTATATATACATACTATATGTACATATGCACCATATATGTACACACTGTATATATGCATGCACTATATATACACACTACATATACATACACACTACATATATATACACATACATTTTATATATATATATATATTAAGACCATTTTAAACTGATTTCTATTTTTTTATTATTTTGTTTTGGGGCAGTCTGAGGATGAAACCCAGGGCACTAGGCTTCACCCTTCCATTTAGCTCAATCTTCAACTCCCTTAGCTGACTTCTAATGAAGACTACAAAGAAGAAAAGCTAGGCATCGCCCGTACCATACAGCTGCCACCTGAACTGATGTTCTCATCTGAAGAAGTACAATTAATCAATTCATAAAGCAATTCGCTGTGGTGTAAATGAAAAGTCTAACTAGTCATGTGGAATAAAACCTAATGACAGTTCTAGTTATTCAAACTCAAACACAGTCCTTCATTTTCCCCACAGAGAAGTTTTGTGGGGATGGAGGAAAGGTTCTTTATAGTGCAGGGGACCCACATCCAGGTCCCACCGTCCGCATCAGGTGGCTCGCAGCTGCCTGTGACTCATAATACACTCATCTGATCTTCCCAGGCACCTGCTTTCCACTCCTCTCTCCTCCCCTTCCCTCCTCTCCTCTTTCTTCTCTCTGATCTCAAATGGTCTCTCTACATAGCTCTGGCTGTCCTGAAACTCACCCTGTAGACCAGGCTGGCCTCAAAGTCACAGAGATCTGTCTGACTGCCTTCTGAGTGCTGAGATTAAAGATGTGCACCACCATGTCAGGTTCAAATATACTTTTTTTGAAGATGTTTTTTAAATCTCTCTCTCTCTCTCTCTCTCTCTCTCTCTCTCTCTCTCTCTCTCTCTGTGTGTGTGTCTCTCTCTCTCTCTCTCTGTGTGTGTGTGTGTGTGTGTGTGTGTGTGTGTGTGTGTGTGTAAACCAGAAGAAAGCATCGAATCCCTTGGAGCTGGAATGAGGAGTACTTGTAAAATGCTGTTGGTGAGTACTGGAAAAGGAACTTCAATTCTCTGTGAGAGCAGCCAGGGCTATTAACCGCTAATCTAGCTCTCCAGACCAAATCTTCTTCATGAAAAAGACATTTGGAGACCTTGGAGAAATAGGTCAGTGGCTAAGAGCCCTGGCTGCTTCCACAAAGGACCTGTGTTTGGGCTGAGACACTCATTTGCTTCACTTGGTGGCTCACAGACACCCTTAATTTCAGTCCCAGGGGATCTGCCGCCCTCTTCTGGCCTCCTTGGGCAATTCACACACATGATGCACAGACACACATGGTAGGTGAAACACCCATTCACATGCATTATTTTTTTATTTAAAGAGATATTTTGTAATAAAACATGTAGAAAATAAAACCAGATTTCACACATTTAAGTATAAAAGAATTCCAAGGAAAATACTAGATAGATAAAAATCTCAAAGCAATAAGATAAAAATACCAGAATTGTGTGAGGAGTTTTTTAAAGGTCTTTAAATTTAACTTTATGCATGAGTTTGCCTACATGTATGTATATGCACAATGTTTATGTTTGGTGCTGGCAGAGGTCAAAAGAAGACATGGGATCCAATGCAACTGGAGACAGCGATGGCTGGGAGGTGCCATATGGGAAAGGAATGGGAGTCCTCTGCAAGAGCAGCAAGCAATCTTAACTGCTGAGTCATCTCCCCAGCCCTAGGTTAGCTGGTTTTTTACTCATTCAGGTTATTCTATTTATGCTTTAGACTCCAATTCCCTTTTTATTCAAAAAAAAAAGGAAAAAAAAAGAGTTCCATTTCAGTAGTCAATGGAAAACAGAGACATTGCTGCAGATCAAGTAGTTGGACATTGTGACTTTGGTCTTAATAACCTTTGGGAACACAGTCCTCTGCTTTCTGTTTGAGGTCTCATCTCACCACCTCATGCTGTCGGGCTGCCATCTTTACCGAGTGTTATCCAGGGGAACGTTGATGGGAGAACCACAATTTCATTTCAACATAGTTAAGAATTTTAAACACCAGAGAGGCAAGATATCTTTAAAACAACTTCCCCTAAAATAAACTAATATGGATTACTTAGTTACCTTGGTGTTTATTTGTAGGTTTCTTCACTGTATGGATGGGTGTGTTTCTATTATATTATTACCTAAGAGCTTGAGGACAAGATCGGGAGGACTTGGCTAGCTGCCGACTATAACCTAAGTAGAGATGGCTAATCAGAGGAAGTATATGGCTGGAAATTCCATGCCTATGGATAACTTTCGGATTAGAACAGACTCAAAGGCCACCTGAACTTTTTAGGACACCTGGACTTCATGTTGTCACAAGAGGCATGTTGTCTTCATGAGACAAATACATTAAATGTACCCCCATATCAGACACCTCCATTTGTCTCTCTAAAGTTGATGATTTAAAAAATAGCATAGCCTTTTTTAAAATTGAAAGAATGACATTTATTAGCACTTATTTGGATGGAGATCTGAGACTATGAAATCAGTTGTCTATATCTGATAGCAGTCCTTTGTTTTTTGCTGGAATTGATCCCCAATAAATCTATACCAGTGATTCGATTCTTGTGTTTGGTGGATGGGTGGTGACATGATTTCTGGCATTGTTTCTACTAAAGATGCTTCTTGTTGTGCTTCAAAATTCACCTTACATGCCTTGATGACTTCATCTAGCACAACTTAGTTAAGGATCTACCTGTGATTAAATGATACAGACTCTCTTTAAAAAAAAAAAAAAAAACAGCAAAAGAGAAGACATTCCATGTTTCACCTGAGCCTTGGCCTACTTTTCTTCCTTTGGGGTATGACGGTCAATTTTTTTGGTTAAAAGGACTTTTAGTAATATAAACAAGGCACCAAAGTGGGTTGCCCTCAAGATAAGATGTCCCTTAAAGACTGTGAATTATTTTATGCATGACTTTTTATTGTGACCAACTCATGGCTATGCTCTAAATTAGTATATTATGTGTCTTTCATGATCAGATTTTCAAGGTTGTGAGGGCAGGTGCTTCTACTTCATTCCAGAAAGACAGTTCTCTCCTCTAGCCCTCCTAATTATTTAAGATGGATCTTCATTTCTTTAAAATCGCTGTTATTCAAGTTTGAAAAGCAGCTTCTGTGTAAGCAGCCTGACTTAAACTGACAAAAGCAAGGAAATTCTGGATCCATAATTCACCTTCCACCCCTTGACCTCACAATCCGCCATATTAGCGTGATCACACCAAAATACCAGCTTGTGTTTACAGTTGCAGTCCTCCTGATGGCGGACGGGCGCGTGTACACGAGCACTCGCTCTGTGTGCACTCAATAGGATCACGATCCGGAGAGCTGAAAATGTAAACACAAGCTGGTATTATGGTGTGACTGGCGGTTTGTGGTTCTTTGTTTGAATACTTAAAAAATGGGCACCCTGGCAAGAACAAAAGACGCAGAAAGCAGAACTGCTCTTAAATGGCTCTCTCGTCTTGGTCCCTCCTCAGGTAGACCCAAAGTAACATAACCATTTCACGGGGTCCTGGGAACCATGTGTTTTTGACTAGTTGGCTACACTTCAACACAACAGTTTTGTTTTCAAAGGCAGGGCATTGGTACTCTGCGTTTGGTAGCTTTAAGTGATGTTCTGAGTACCCTCCAGCCCTGTACCTCTCTGATTATTATTTACATCAAAATCGGCCATGTTGTAAACTCATCCTGACATTTGATGGTTAATCAAGAACATAAACACCTCATGTTTAATTTTTTTTTAAATCTTGCTAGTTACCAGTGGTTGGTTCTTTTGCTCCCAAAGAGTGTTGACATCAACATAACCACCTATCTACCCATCATGGTTCTTGTTCATGCTGTTTCACTGTTGATTTTGAAGTGCAGAAGTTGACCACAAGAGAAATGCAAAGGATTAAAAAAAAAAAAACCAAACCATAAGCTTTATTTTCTCACAGTATGTAGTTGCCTAGTTGGCCCATCTGCTTCCTGAGTAGCTTTTGCTATTTCTCAATCTAAATAAGCTTGATCATTGGCCTCACCACAGTGAACTTTGATTCTGAAATTCACTTATGCTATGTTGGAGGGGTGACCAAATCATTTCAGGAAAAAAGTTTAAGACATAAAGGAAGAAGTTTAAAAGAATATTTTCTAAAAAATGTCAACACAACACAATATGTTTGACATGGTGGTAAATGACATTGTCATGCGTTTTTTAAGAACAAAAATTTCCCTTTGGAGTTAAGTATAACATCGATTCCAAAAGTCAGTCACTAAAGGAACAGTGGGTAGTTCGGCAGTTCTCTTTTCCTAAATAAAAGTTACAAATTGATTTTACACCTATTGAAACAGCCATTCTCCGCTGTAAACCTATTCCTGACAACTGTTTCTCTTAGAATTGAATAAGTAATTGAAAAATAAAAGTGATTTTCTCAATACAGTTGAAGAGCAGTTAATGTAAAGGCATAAATACAATCATGCTGCGGTCATGGTTGCAGACAGTTTTTATGTAAACTTAATAAAAAGAATAAGAGCTCTTAGCTTGGAATGTTTTAATGAAATGCCACTCAACCTGAAACAGGTGATTCCGAAGTGTTGTCAGTCACTTTAGACTGAAGAGAAATAACAAGAAATAGCTTTAAGATATCAAGTAATTTGCACTAACACGCTACACTTGAGCGCCTCACCTTTGAACAGCTAACAATCCCCTTTGTTTGTTTAAACAAACTATATATGTATGCACTATACTTGATCACTTCACGAACCCACACAACCTGGTGGTCTTGGCCACCTTGCGTCTTGATTCTCTCTTCCCATGTGAGATCTCTTGCCAAGACAGCTCATGAGAACTTCACAAATTATAATAAAGGAAGCCTCCTACATGGACATCAATACTGACAGATCCAGGTCTTCTCATTTTCACCTGAGATATACTCAGGCGCAATTGGAAAGTAAATTAAAGATTGAATCGATTTCCTGAAAGAGAAGTTTGGCTTTATTTTACACATATGTTATGAGAACAGACGTATGAATGCCGTTTAAAAAACTCATTATCTAATGGTAATGTTTGATTATACAAATAGTTAATGTACAAAGGATTGACATTTTCACAAGTTTCAGCCCTAGTACCATCTAAACTCATCTTCCATGCTCTATTTCATGTTCTCTTGAACAACCTTGAGGTTTCAGGAATTCATGCCTATAAGCACTGGCTTTTAGTTTTAGAGGTTGTTCTTCAAATCTTTCTCGTAACTTTACAAATGTTTTGGAATGTCCGTGAGTCTACAGACATCCTATTCAATCCTAGAATTTTCTTTGCTTATCTGTTTCCTAATTTCATCACTTTTCTTAACTACTACTTCCTATGTTTCTTCTGCTGGTAGAAAATAAATATAAAGTTGGTCTTTTGAAACTCAAAGGCCTTTGACTTTTTTTTTTTCTGGAAAGCACCTAAGAAAAGTACAGAGGAGGTATTATTTTTATTTTATTTTACTTATTATTTTAGGTAGGGTCTTATCATGTAGCTCTGGTTGACCTGGACCTTGCTATGCAGACCAGGCTGGTCTTGAACTCACTAATGGTCAGCCTGCCTCTGCCTTCTGAGTACTAGGACTAAAGCTGTGTGGAAGTTTGAAAAGTTGCAGCAATGGCCCAGTTCTACATCTCTAACAGTGAGGGATGTTTTAAAAGTTCTACAATTGGATGGCTATGGAGAATAGACAATAGTGAAAATGGCTAAAACAATATAAATCTTGTAAGCAGTGTATATTTTACCACCATAAAAATAAAGATTAGTTTAAATAAGAAATCTGGGACCTGATATAAAAAGTTACTTAACGCCACAAAGAAAGCATGTTTAGCACAGAAAGGGTGCAAGTATGTATGGCTGAGCAAGCAGGAAAACCAGGCATTTTCTCCAGTTCAATGGATCAAATACTTCGGTTGTTACTTGCCACTGGGATTCATTCAAGTACCAATTATCAAAGGAAGTCACAAAAGACAATATTAAAGTCAGATATAATCAATTAACTGTTCATTCCCACTGACCCCAATCTCTCCTCCCCCCCCTCTCTCTCTCCTAACCAAACATCTTTTCCCCAGGTTACATTGTTTGAAGTACACACGCATGAGCATGTCATTTATCTGTATGAGTGTTGGTAAAGATGGGACTGAGAAAGAAGTGAAAATAACACCATCTTAAGCACTAATGAATTTTAAGCAGTTGAATTTTTAAAAGTAAACTCTAAGTCATACTTTGGGGCCTACTTTCCCACTTTTTAATAGCTTTCTAAAAAAACCCCAACCTTGAAATGCATGCAATTAGAAACATGCAACAGGGAGGCTAGGCTTAGTCACAGAACTATTTCAATGCAAGCTGCTTCTATTTTTGGTGTCCTACAGAGAAATAGAATCAGAATGTTCTAACCTCTGCTCATTCTGTAGGTGAGAATATTAAACTGACTGTTTGAAGAAAAAAGAACTGGGAAAGTCAGCTCTTTATCATGTTTTAATTACTGGGCGATTATTCTACTATGATGCAGGTGTTGTGGAACATGAGGATATACAATTCATTTGACGCTCATAATCGGATCCACATCTTGCTCTACAGAGTGCCATGGGTGTGGCCTATCTGTCTCATCTGGACATGGCTTCCTCACGTTGTCATCTCAGCTGTGACTGGCTTTGTGTCCCATCCGCATGAGCCTTAAAGCTCTCCAGGATCTCTTACAGCAGTGCTGCATGAAGTTAGGAATTATCAGAACTAAATGAGTTCTGAGTTCAAGCTCCCACCCGATGCCTGAATTCCTTTAAGAAGATATGCATCCTCAAAGTCAATAGTCACTGTGGTTATTGCTAGATCATATAGCATTAGGAATAAGAAAACTAATAAGCCAGGGCTATATTACTGCTTCTTTATCTGTGAAAGACTTATAAGATGGAGGGTTAAATGAACTGACCTATATAAACACGCCTAGCAGGGTGCTTGAAAGATAAAGAGCACTCAAAATGGTTATATTTAAATCCACTTGTCTCTTAGTCTTGCTTGAGTATCTAGCCCCACTCCATGTCACAGGATTTTTGGATCTTCGTTGTCACAAAGTTAAAGTTGGGGTGTCTGAAGTGTCCTTGTTCTAATAGCATCGTGAAGAAGCAATCCACAACTTCTTAAATGAAGGAAAAATGATGATACTTCTGTCATATACTAGAGTCCTGTGGTGATAGGGCTTTAGCTATGCCAAGAGGAGTTTACATAAATATCTACTTGTTCATTTCATGCTCACACTCACTCTGTTGTTTAATGTTCAATCCCAATCTACAAACAGAACAAGAATTCTAGACTCTTTGGATAGCATGAATAAGTTACCTCCACAAATCCAATCTAGACTCTTCGGATAGCCTGGAAAAATTACCTTCAGAAACCCAAGTTTCTTCCGCTCCACTCACACCTTTTGACTGACTAGTCACCAAAGAGAAGGAAAAACAAACACTGACATCTACATTAGCCCACGTGCCTATTCCATAATTCATAAATAGAAAAACTCCACTTTTCTCTGGTGAAGTTGCATTTATACTAGGCATTACAATCTTTGGGGCTATGTTTTCAAAAGTTCTTAAAGATTTCTAATTCTCTGGTTATGATTATCTTTAAAGCAATCTGGCTATACGCAGCTTTGTTGAAGATAAATTAATTCAGTTTATGAATACGTGACCTAAATTTCTTTAAGGTAATTAGCAGCTCTGGTCTACCTGAAAGATACAGTTATCAGGAGTGGGTAACTTAGTATCAGCGTGTTTCTAATATCGATGTTATTTAAAGCCATATATTAAGAGTCATAAGCATCTGTAGTGACAGAAGAGACATGCAGCAAAGTACTGGAAAACTGGAATAGAATTAATTGGTTTTGGTCTACCCACTTCAAATTAGAAATAGCAACAGAAAAAAAATTAAACACTAAATGTATTCGTTAGGCAGGATCAGCAATCATGCTGCCCACACATGATCTGCAAGTAATTTGTAAATAAGAAAATTCATCACCTGGAGAATAACAAACGCTAGTTTTATGGCCCCAAAGAATAGACAAGTAAAAACCACTAATGATTGCACCGCATAAACACAGGGGCAAAAATGGACCCTGGTGAACAAGTAAGGGTAACAAGGAACCTCATTTTTGTTATTATTAAAGTGGAGTAAAAGACGCGCAGCGTACATCTGCAGGTTTTCCTGAAGTGTTAGCACTGTTCAAAACAGGGTCACTTAAAAGGCATGGGAAAGTGTTACTACCAAGTACGGAGGGCAAAAGTCGATGTCTAGAAAGAGTCATCATTTTGCCAAAAGATTGGTGTAAAAAAGAAAACCTGCCTACCATTGCTACCTTGATATTAATTAATTTTTCTAATTGTATATTAGAAACAATTACTAATAAATGACAATCTGAAGCAATTTTAGCTTGTCATCGTCAGATGATATGACTTGGTCTATGAAGAGATTCCCCAGCACATTATTTACTGAGAAAATAAATATTAAATGGTACTTTAAGTATTGCTCTATTTTGGAGGGACCTTTGATGTGGAACACTACATTTTTACTTGTAAACTGTGGTTATGTAACATACTTTAATGCTGAAATCAAGCAAAGGCACTCAACTCTACTCCATCCAGTTGAGAATTTCCTTTTTATTGCCAGCTAAAAATTCAAAAGTAAAAAGTTTAAAATTCTGTTGGGCTGTTTCTTTAAAATATAGAGATTCATCTGCCTGTTTTAAGAAGGGGAAACATACAGCCAATTTTGCAAACAGCTTAAAGAACTAGGAACTCTAAGTTTCTCTATTTGATTGTGTCTATAGGGTGGGGCGCGTGTGCACCTAAGTGTGCAGATGTCTGAGGAGTTTAGAGGCATTGGCACCTCTGAAGCTGGAGTCACAGGTAACGAGCTGCCGCATATGGGTTCTGGAGACAAATCCCAGTCCTCCAAAAAACAGTAATTTTGTAATATGAGGAGCGGGCCTGCTTTTTGTCCCCTAGCTAGCTTACACCCAAAATAACCACAAAGAAATTGTATTAATCCAAATTACTGCCTGTCCCATTAGCTCTAGCCTCTTATTGGCTAACTCTCACATCTTGATTAACCCATTTCTATTAAATCTGTGTATCATCGTGTGACTGTGGCTTACCTGCAAGATTCTAACCTACGTCCATCTCAGGCCTGAGATTCATGGCGTCGGCCACACTGCCCTTCTTCCCAGCATTCTGTTCTGTCTACTCCGCCTATCTAAGGGCTGCCCTATCAAAAGGCCGAGGCAGTCTCTTTATTCAACCAATGAAAGCAACACTCAAACAGAAGAACCTCCTACACCATACTCTTAACTGTTGAACCATCTCTTCAGCCTCAGTTCTTACTTGTGTCATCACCCACTCCCGCCCCAAGACAGGGTTTCTCTGTGTAGTCTTGGCTGTCCTGGAACTCACTTTGTAGCTCAGGCTGGCCTCAAACTCACAGAGATCCTCCTGCCTCTGCCTCCCAAATGCAGCTGCCAACGTTTAGTTTGGAGAGTATCTGCAGAGTCTCTGGGCCGCAACCTTGTGTACTATCAAGAACACACAATGTCAGCTTGTGAAACCACACACAGCACGGCATGGCTGTAGTAGATGTTCACCCAGCTTTAGTTTCTTCATTCATTGACCCCCTTCACCAGCTCAAATTAAAAAAAGGCTAGTAGAAAAAAAAAATCACCCCTGGAGGCAAATATCTTAGACGGGATACGATTAGACAATGGAGGACCCAAGATGTTCTGAGCAGGATCGGAAAAGGAGAGTGACAGATACAAAATGACAGAGAAAGCAAGGCGGCACGCCAGCAAGGAGCACGAAACAGGAGTGAGCATGCAATATTGATGTAGAAGTCAAGGTAGAGAGGAGAAATAAAAAGAACATGAGAATGGCATTAAGGTTTTGTAAGAAATCATCTCTAGAAGATGTATTTTATGATGGCCAATAGGGAACCACAGAATTTTCGTGAGGAAAAAAAAACCTACCCAGGTAGGTTCGTTTCCTACCTTAATTTGTCATCAGCTTGACTCTGAAAACGTCGTGACGTGAGTCGTTCCTAGGAAGAAAACAAAAGTTAAAGGCTAAAGTTCTTCATGTCTGTATATGACCAGAGAGCTTGAAGGGAAATCTAAAGATCTATTTTTTTTCTTTTTAGACACATGGTTCAGTATTTATTCACAGTGTTTTCCTTCACTCGACTCATTTCTTCTAGTTAAAATTTCTATATAAAATGATACAAATCTCCCAATTCATTAGTCATTATGCCTGAATATGGCCCTAGACATAGGAAAATAACAAAACAGAAGAGAAAACCCTATTTTGTGTAAGATTTTTCTAACTGGAAGGCTTCCTGTTAGCAGGGAGCTGTTTCTTATCTTGGTGAATTCCCTGAAGCTTGCCCACACATCTTAACCAAGTCATCATTAAACTGTCTTCTAATAGCATCTTTTGAATATGTGTGTTTCCTGCTAGGATTTTAATTGATACAAGGCCCCTAGTCAGAGTTCTAGAAAGAATTTTATAAAAAAAGGAAGCTATCCTAAACAAATAAGAATAGGCATATTATTTATACAAAATCATATATTTTACTTTTCACAACTCTGAAGTGTTAGAAATTGCTTTATTTAAAATGAAAATAAATTTATTTATAGCTTTTATTTTCTTGAAACAAGATTTACCCATGTTGATAAGACGGCCTCAAACTGCTGTACTCAAATGATGCTCTTGTTTCCACTCCTCATAGCTGGCACTCTAGGCCTTTTTATAACTATTTTTATTATAGTTTTCTAATAAAACTACTATGCTGATGACATGTCATTAAAATAAATAAAAACCTCCCCTTTGCCTCTCTCCTCACCTATTATGTAAAATCATAAAAGTTTCTAATTAAAAAGTAGATGTGATAGAAAGCTGTACTCGATGAGGAAGATGGAGAAAATCTTGAGATGCGAGAAGAAGGAATTCATAGCCATTGTGGTAAGACTGTATGGTCTAGGAGTTCCTCCCTTCCAAAAGAAGTCCTTGTCCTGATCCCAAGAATCTGAACAAATTACCTCTTATTGCAAATGGGACTTTCCAGACTTGACTGAGTTTGAGTTCTTGACCTAATAATATCCTGGATTATGTCAGAGGAAGGAAACTGGAGAGTGTGCAGTTTGACAAAGAAGCATATGGGAGTGATATGGCCATAGCCAAAAATGGCTGACCATGTCTGGGGATGAAGCAGTGAAGGAATAGACTGTCTCTTGGGGCATCCAAAGAGAATTAATCCTTCCAATTTACAACTGGCTGTGACTTCAGTTTCAGAAGACACCCCACTCTCTTCAGGCCTCTGTGGGCACTATAAGTAAAATACCATACACATAAAATCCAAATGAAAGATTTTTTAAAAAGAAGCTTGGGTTTTAAAGAATTTAAACTTTATAATGAGAAGGATGAAAACAGGAGAGCATTGTTTAATTTCCATGTGTCTGTGGGCTTTCTGGAATTAGTGTTGCTGCTGAATTCTAATTTTAAGCAATGGTGATCCTATAAATTACTGGGCGGTGGTGGCGCACGCCTTTAATCCCAGCACTCAGGAAGCAGAGGCAGGTGGATCTCTGTGAGTTTGAGGCCAGCCTGGTCTATAAGAGCTAGTTCCAGGACAGGCTCCAAAGCTACAGAGAAAACTTGTCAAAAAAAAAAAAAAGATACTGGGTTACTTCAATGTTTTTTGTATTTGTTGAAGGTTTTTTTGTTACCTAGTATGTGGTCAATTTTTGAGAAGTTTGCATGAGGTGCTGAGACATGAGGAGAGTAGGAGGGAGGGGAGCAGAGAAAAATGTATAGCTCAATAAAGTCATTTTTAAAAAGAGGGAAAAAAAGGATAAAAACATGTAATTATAAAAAGGAGATTAAGAAGTTGCTACAGAGCCTGCACAGGTCTGCATGGGGTCTGAGAGGTGAAAGAAGGAGTGAACACATTGCCCCCATCCCAAACACAGAAGCTATCTCCAGGTGATAGCCTCTTGCAAATAAAAATTTAGTTTGCTCCAAGGAAGTCTCACTGAGGAAACAAACTTCTCAAGGGTGGGATAGATACCCACCCGCAGATGGCCAAAGTAAATGACCTCAACAGCATCCTTGAAGACTCATAATGTTGTATCAGGGTTTTTATTTTTTATCTTATTTTTTTATTTTTATTTTATTTTTATAGACTTTAACACAATGTATTGGTTCCATCTAAATTTCAAAGTATCTTTTCATATGGTGTCACCAGAGAAGCAATTATACAGCATACACACACACACACACACACACACACACACACACACATATATATATATATATATAACATAACTAGCATTAAAACACCAGCAAGACCGTTGCATTCTCATCTCATAAGCTTATTTCACAGCCAGGCATGGTGGTGCACACCTTTTATCCCAGCAGTCGGGAAGTAGAGACAGATCAATCCCTGCACTGGAAGCTAGCCTGTTCTACAGAGCAAGTTCTAGGAAAGGCAGGGCTATACAAAGAAACTGACTCAAAAATCAAATAAAAAAATTATTTCATGCAAATACGCATGTTTCATTCTGAGTTGTATATTAACACTATCTTAAAACATTTTAATTAGAATGATAAAAACATAATTGCTCTTATTTAGCATTAATGACCTAATTATGCTTTGAAACATAAAATATAAAGTTATCTATAAGAAAAATGACCTTCCCTTCATTGAGGTTTTTTTTTGTTGTTGTTGCTTTTGTAGTCTCAGAATTACTATTGTCGAACATTTTCAGTAAATTACTGGCATTTATTTTAAGATTCACCATAGATCTGCAATGAATTTTTTGTCATTTCTGTGAGCAAACATTAACTTCTCTCCAGAAATAGGCCCAGGTTCCCACAACTCTTAGGACATCTATATACGACACCAATATTTTAATGCATGAAGTGTTACAGAATATTGACACACTGTATGAAGATGTGTTGCTGTGTGTGATTGGTTCAATAAAAAATTTAATGGCCAATAGCTAGCTAGGCAAGAGTGATAGACTGGACTTCCAGGCAGAGGGAGGAAGATAAGAATTTAGGTGCTTGAATTATGCTAGTTAGACGCCAATGAGACATGGAGGAAGTCAGACATACAGAATGAAAGAAAAGTAAAAAGTGACATGGTAAAATGTAGATTAATAGAAACAGGTTAATTTAAGGTATAAGAGCTGGTGGGGAAAACCTAAGCAAGGGCAGAGATTTTATAGTTAATTCTAGGTCTCCACGTCATTATTTGGGAGCTGGCTGGCAAGACAAAGTCCCCTTATAGTTTAGGTTACCGCTTTGTTTATTAAATTCACAACAATTATATTTAAAAATACAAATAGAGGAAACTAATATGAAGGTTAGAAAAGATTTATGATGAGCTAGTCTAAATACCAAAGAAGTAGAAGCAACTGTGCTCTCATTTTTTAGAACCAATTAATATCACCTGACAAGGACAATTTTGTCTAAAACACCTCGTTAAAGGCTAAGAACACTTTTGGAGTTTTGCTAGAGCACCATTTTCGGACACTTAGCACATTGTTACTTAACTCTCATGCTGATAAGTTGTAATCAACCTTTCCTTTGTGGGAAATAACAAAGAGACATATTATTAATTATGAAAGCTTGGCCTTAGTTTAGACTTTTCCCCAACTAGCTCTTATAACTTAAATTAACCTGTTTTTATTAATCTACATTCTGCCATGTGATTACGTCTCCTTTGTAACACATGTCTGACTTCAGTGTCTTGCTGTCATCTCTCAAGTTTTTAGATTCATCATGAGTTCCTCCCTCTCTACAGAAATCCTGCCTATTCTCTTCTGTCTAGCTATTGGCCATTCAGCTCTTTATTAAACCAATCACAGTGACATATCTTCACGCAATGTAAATGAATATTCCACACAATAAGTAGATCGAGGTTGTCTTATAAAAGTTCTGAGATTTATGGAAGTCTTGCTTAATGAAACATTAATGTTTTTTTACTTCAGATAGGAACTAAATTTCAGTTTGAGGATTTTGTGAAATTAAGAAAAGGACATTTCTATTGCAGTTGTTAAGAAGGTAAGGTCTGCCGGGTGGTGGTGGCTCACGCCTTTGATCCCAGCACTCTGAGAGGCAGAGACAGGCATAGATCTCTGTGAGTTCGAGGCCATCCTGGTCTACAAGAGCTAGTTCTAGGATAGTCTCCAAAGCCACAGAGAAACCCTGTCTCGAAAAACCAAGTAAATAAATAAATATAAAAAATTAAAAAAAGAAGGTAAGGTCAAGTGAGCAGTTCTATTCATATGGAAACAAAAAAAGAAAGGGACACAAAAGGGAAATGGGGTTGAATAATATTAAAGCATGCTGTGCACATGGATAAAAAGATCACAACAAAACCCATTGTTTCACACTAGTTTCATATGGAAATCAAAAATTAGAAAAAGAGAGAAAGAAATGTCAATCACATTTTTTTTTAAATCCTGGAGTAGAAACTAGTTCATGGGCAGCAAAAATGATTCAGTGGTTAGAGCACTGGCCACAAAGATCTGATAACCTGAGTTCAGTCTTCTGAATATAGAAGGTGGGGGGAGTGAGCCAGCTTCCAAAAATTGTCCTGTAACTTCTACATGCTTGTCATGGCATGTTCTCTCTCTCTCTCTCTCTCTCTCTCTCTCTCTCTCTCTCTCTCTCAGTTCTTTTAGCCCTTTTTCTTTCTTTCTTTTTCTTACTTAGAGAGGGTCTCACCATGTAGTCTAGGCTGGCCTTGAACTTGATGTGTAGTGCAGACTGGCCTCAGGCTCAGAATCTTCCTGCTTCAGCTCCTGAACACTGAGACTGCAATTATATGTTACCACATTTGCCTTGTGCTAGCATTAAAAAAACCTTAAAAGATGATTATTTTGCCAAGATGGCAAGCATATCCCAATACTCAAGAGGCAGAGGCAAGAGGGTCATGAGTTCAAGGCCAATGAAAAGAAAATTATATGTAACAGGACAGATAGACTTTAAAAATATTGCAGTGAGGAGTACATGCCATACAACACCACTTTAAAC